ATGTTTGAAAACAAAAATGTTATTCACTTTCCTTTTCAGGAAATAAGATGGGAGCAGACAACAGACCTCAATCAATGTGATATTTTTTTTAAAGAATGTAAAATGAATTCGAAGGAGGTGACAGAGGGCACATGTATTTGTAACACGCATTTTAAAATGTTTTTGCATTTGCATTTATTTTTAATGGCGTTTATGCCCTCTAGTGTCAGTAAACGTTATTGCAGCTAGGTTTTTTGAACATTGACAATTTTCCGTAACAGTTTCTGGCAGTATGAGCCTAAACTACTTGATCTTTGTAAAAACGCGCATCCTGGATTTGTTCCTATTATGTATGTGCTATAGTTTCAGAGTTTTGCTGTAGAGGTAATGTGGATGGGGTGATGTTTCTATCCGAAGTAAACTCCTCCAAATATGAATTTCTGATCTGTCAAACACACACACAAAAAAAACCCTAATTGCTAAATTACAATTTCTGTGATTACTTATTATATCCTCCAAAATACGCTTTTTTTTTTCTGAAAACAAATTACTCCTGTGTTCAAACAAACAAAGAGATGTTGAATAAACAGCATTGTCCCTCTCATTTTTAAGATCATTTGAAAAAAAGACCTTCTCTGCGCACATCAAGGAAAAATGGCCAAAAAGTATGACTCGTTTCAATTATAATTCAAACCTTTGACTTATGAAATATTCCATCTTAGAGCCTTCAAAAACCAGTCTTCATTAGATTCAGCAATAAGATAAATAGCCAATGATGCCACAAATACAGCCTCTGTCGCCTGAGATTTCTTGAATTATGGGTATGCAACACCAGATGTATTTCAATCATCAGTTAGAAGAGCAGTACTGCTTTGACAGGTGGATGTCCAGAGGTAAGCTCTGATGTGGCGATACTTAGGTTACAAATTGGGCATTTGTAAACCCAAATACATTCATGTTTCCCAAGTTCCTGCCACAGCTCAGCCTTTTGTGTGATTCAAGTTGCATTTCAGGCCCTCAAATCTGTCATGAAAGCGCTAAGAAATCATGTCCATGTTGCTCGTATCAGTACTCTGAGAGCTCCAGTATTTGCAAAATAAAGGAATCCACTGGCTTGCTGTCTTCCCTCATAGTGAGGAGTTAAACATGCAGAAGTGGTCTGTCACCTGTTCATACAAACACCTGAGGCAAACACGGATGCCTTTAAATCCCTCCATCCCTGTACGATGTCACTTAGTGAACAGATATCCACGGACTGCAGGCAATAGCACACATCTGACCTGTCTGAGCTACCTCTAGGGAAACCTAGGCATTAGTTTGATCATGTAGTTTCTGACTTGTGATTTGATAAAACTTGATTGACACATCTAGTTTGTCATAGCCTTTTCCCTTCCCTTCTTGGCTAATGAAGTAGAATGCACCTGATTGATAACAGGGATCAGTACAACATCTCTTTTTCTTCACTCATCCGGAGTGTACAATATTGGGATGACACTTTTGACGTTACAAAATTAAATTGTCAGTACAAATCATAAATGCCCAAAGACTGACTTGAGCTTTGGCCACAGTAATAGACATATGTGGAACAGACTATATACAAAGCTATGGAAAGACTGCAACTAGGAAATAAAGCACATAAAGGAGAACACATTTGCAGTTACAGTCTGAAGAGCGCTGAGACAAGCAGGGTAGCACTAGATAAAACCTTGAAATGGTTCCCTTTTGAAAAGGGACTGTGAAAATTGCTTAATAAGATTCCGTATTTGTCATCTCCATGACTGAAGAGATCAGATTTTCTGCAGAATTTAAAATTTGTTTTAGAGATCAAGTATAATTTTTCCACTTTAAAATACAAACACCATAAAGCTACTCTGCCATCTGAAAATGGAGTTATGTTCTTTTTTTAGTTTAGACTTTCCAAGGAATAAAGCAATTAAAGATGGAGTAAAGCAAGAAAAGTTCCTTTCATTTTATGTCATCCACTTCCACTGATGGTATTTGGTGAAATATGAGGTATAACTAAAGGCAGTGTTTAATCCAGCAGGAAGAACTTGTTAACAATTCTGGTCATGCCTATGCTAGAGTAAAATCTATGTCACTGTCCCAAAGGAGAGCAAGGCTAACCAGAGTAAATGTAGTAAAAATTCCATTTTGTCACTAAAGTGAGCAAATATGTTTTTCACCTTGTGCAGGAAGGCTAATTTTTTGGACTTTATATTTTCTGACCATAATTTTATTTAAACATCTCCAACACAGTCTTTATTAGCAGGAGAAAAACTAATCATGTAAGAGTTATTAATGATGTGAAAGATATTATTAGCACTTAACAATGGACAAACATCATTACATTTGGAAAACGTCACCATACCACAACTTATTCAAGCTGAAATAGAAAAATAATCAAAAGCAAGTTATTTTAAAATAAGCAGCATAACCATCTACCTGTCATTTTGCCCAGAAGGTAAGAAAAACATTGCAAAATATCTTCATGTATCAAACAATCCTATTTTTTTTCTTTTGCTCTGTAACACTGAAATACTGTGAAAAGGTACCTCCTCTTGTCAGTAGGTAGGTCCACACATAAATACTGAAATATTAGGATCAGCTAATAGTTCCTGTCACCACTCCTAAAGCATCAGTCTGCACTTGGTTCACATAATTATAGCGTCACATTATCAACAGGATGAACTATATCCCTGAGCAACTTCAAATCAAATTAATTAGAGCCAGAAATGCCTTCTGTCCACAGCAGCCATTGGTGAGAATGTGAGCTCATGAAGGTTCAGCAATTTAGCATTTCAAGCGGTAGGAATCTAAATATAGGTTTAGGTATCTAGTTTAAGACATCTGTTCCAGTAGTAATGGGTGTATGAAAATTTTGTATTTCAAGATCTGGTTGTGTCAGGTGTATGTAAATATATATTGCCTTTTAAATAGCTTTCTGTTCATACACTTTGTTTCAATTTAAGAAAATACCTGGATCGTAGCTAAGGGGATGAAGTAAAACAGTAGCAAATACTGTAAACCAGCAATGATTATCAGTGGTTTGATCCTAAGATTTCTCCCCTAAGCTCCCCACCCCAGCCCCATGCCCACCCCTCACCTCATTGCTCCACCTGAAAAAAAAAATTGGGGATAGTTAGGTGTCAGGGATCTCGTTTGTCAAAGGGACCTTCAAAGGTCTCCCTGCCCAAAGGAAAGAACAGCTGGGCATGCATCACTACGGACAGCTGATAGTCAGCTCTGGCTTCAGGAAGATAAGCACCAAAAACACCTGGGTTTTGAGGTGCAAATGTTGATGTGAAGTAAAGCGTGACTCTCTTTCTAGTATTTTTCCAATTTATGCATCTTGTAAAGACCAGAAATATGAATAATTTAGAAGATGGATTCTATTACATTATGTCTTTTTATCCAATCTTGTTCGAATTTTGTCCCAAAATCAGAAACTAACAGCACTCAAATTCTGAGCAGGTGTGGGGTTTATTGGTAGAAATATTAATGTACTTTTTCCTGTCAATATTTTACACTTAGCTATGCCTTGTAAAGCAACTAAACACTTATTTTACACAACATAATCTTGGTCAATAGTCTAAGACTTGGTCATCTATATTATATCTGCCTAGATGACAACTTGTTTGAATATTTATGTTAAATGTCTTCCTCTTATCTTACAAAATGCAAACCATTCATCTTCACCTACAAGGCAATACATAATCTCCTTTTGACATACGCTGAGCTCTCATTGCTAGAAGGTGTGCTCTAACTCCATATAGATTCTCCATCATCTGATATCCTCATCCCTTCATCCCCTCCTTCTCATGATTAGGTGCGCAATTTGAACCATGTGACTTGAAGACTCCCCCTCTACTTTCTCTATTTTTCCAATTC